CCCCCAAAACCCCAAAACCCCTTGACACAAATATAAGATCAATTTTTATGAAATTAACCTCAAATAGATATTTAAAATGCTTATTATCAATTAGATGAAAATAAATATTGATTGCCTATTTTATTACCTTGGACAATGCTATCACCATCTTCTTTTTCTTTTTTTCTATTTTTATTTATTTATAGTCGTATTTGTATTGGTTGTTGTATTATTTGCACTGTTGCTCGTGCTGTTATAAGTGGTATCACTTCTTTCATCCTCATCTTTTATTCTGTAAAAGAGTAAATAGCTGTTAGAATTGATTATTTCTTCCTTTTTACGATCTGGATTGAGCTTTTATACCTTACTATCATCATAAAGATACCATTATTTTTCCTTTTCATCTCTACAGTAAGTAACATAATGACCTCCATCACCCATTATGCCATTTCTATGCTGAACAACTGCTTATAAAGTGTATTTCTTCAATTAAATACCGTCCATATTCTTTACTCCACTTCCTTCATGAAACACCTTAGAAAATTTGAACTTGCTCGTAGGAAATTTAATAATGTGCTCTAGTCTTTTCCTCTAAAATGTTATTGGATCAACATTAAAACGCTTTAAATGTATTATCAATGATTCTGGCTCCTTCTAAAGATATGTGAATTTAACACAGTCTCTCTTGACTAAACATTATTGGCATAGCCATTAATTCCCAGTAATTAACTCTGGCTTAGCAAAGTTTTTTATGCAAGTTTCAAGATCTAGTTTCCTTATCTCATTTTTTGTTTCTTTTTCAGGAAGTCCTTACTCTTAAATCTTATTAAATTCTTCTCTCATTTTTTAAAAATCTGCTGCCATATTAAATTCTATTTCAGTTCTTATAACAGACGATAAATCATAAGTCTTGAATAATTTTTTATTTTGCCTCATGTCTAGTTTAACCCTGGTGTGATCCTTCATTAGCAAATAGAGACTATAAGGCTGTTCAGAATCTGGTCCAAAGAATATATCTTCATATGCTTATCTATAATCTTCTTACATTAGGAGCTGAAAGTTTTAATGGTATAAGGAATCTTTGATTAGATCTCTTATGTCTTTGAAAATTTTTAAAGAAATATTTTTAATTGACTCACTCTCACTGAATTAAATAAGCCTAGGAAATGATTAATACCTTCTATTCTGGAAATCATATTCCTCTTTCGTAATATGTAGAAAATTTATTGGAAGTAATTTCTCTACATTACATTTATATACTTCATATGCATAAGTGGTAAATTCCTTATTTTCACCAAAAGTTAAAAGCATATTTTCTCCCATCAAAACTGATGCGAGTTCGCAACTATCTTTAAGATCTACCATGATAAATGTTTTTTTACCAGATTTAAGTTCTTTCCTATCCTGGGATATTTTATTCTTTACTCTTTCGAATACATTTTTGTAAAGATATTAAGCTGGCTTGAAGAGAATTTCATATTTTTTGAACTTATCAATATCGAAGATATAGATGATACGGAGTCTCGTATAATTAGATTTATCACTCTGAAATTCTATTGGTAGACTCAAGTAGTTAAAATTTTCTATTGTTGTTGAGACAAAATTGCAACTCTTGCATCTTATTTCTTGCTTAAGTTTTCCTTCAAAAAGGCTCTAAATGACATTTGTAGATATTGGATTCTCTTAATTAGCATTTTCATCTTCTTCTCAAAGTGCTTAAATTCTATCAGTCTCCTCGATTAAGTAACCTTACAAATAAGAAAGAAATTCCTAGGCATCAAATTAATCATTCCCTTTAAATAAATCACTCTTTAATGACAGAGCTAGTTTGAAATAAGTAGGATTTATAGTGGTCTGTATTCCTCCAGAAGGAACTTTGATCTCATTAAAAATTTTCAACAAGCTGAAAACTATTGGCTTTTAAATTTCTAAATTTTCTACATTGGAATATTATTATAATTTCATTTTGAGTTTGATATTCATTGCTAAAGCTTGAATAATGGAATTCATATAGCAATTATTGCCAATATTACTGATACCATTTCCTATTATAAATTTGTGATCATTATATGAAAATCTTGAGATTTATTAGCTTAGTGTAAGCTCTTTCTCTGGTTCTTTTTAACTTTCTTTCTCCTCGCCTTCATTTGATTACGAGGCTTAACTTTCTTCAGGTTCAGATTCAGTACTGGAGGATGATGACGATTCTTACTCTTTCTATTTTAGATTTCTACTTACAGGTGCTTTAGTTGCTTAAGGCCGACCTCTCATTTACTTGATATGCTATTTTTATACCATTTTCATCCTCCTTTTATGAGATTAGGAATCTGATTCTTTGGAAGATACGGATTCAGTTTAAGTGTTGTTAAAGTCAGATTTTTTATCCTTTAACTCAGATTCTTAGTCATCCTCAACTTCTACTTCCATGTTAATTTTATTTTCCTCTGAATTTTCTTTATTTGAATCTTCATTAGCTACTTTTTATGATTAAGAATTTTCTCCCCTCCTTGCTCTTTTAGATTGACCAGAGAAAATTGTATTTTCTAAATCATCCTCTGAGCCATGCCATTCTTCATCAGACTCAAGTTCATTGAAATTATCATATACTCTCTTCTATTTTTTCTTTAATTTTGCTTTTTATTAGAGCAATTAAAGTTTTTTCTCTCTTTATTGTTCTCTTTGTTATTCTTTAAGAGCAGCTTTAGCCTAATTCTTAAGATATTTGTCACAAACTGTCTTTTAATGGAATTTTTAATCGTTTTGCTTGCAATCCAAATTGCAATACTTTACACCATTGCATATCAAGCAGCTTTCTAGCATAGGAGATTTAATTTTGCCACAGAATCCACATTTATTTTCTGTCGAAGAAACTGAATGAGATTATCTATAAACATTAATAAATTTATATTTTACCTTTTATTGTCTCCTTAGTCCATAATCTATCTCGAATCTTTAAGATTATTGTACATCTAAACAAACTCTTCATAAAGGTTGATATCCTGGTATGATTGATCAAAATAATCTCTTATAGTGTGATTTCTATTTTTCCAATAAAGATTGTAACTGAAATTATAGTCAAAAAATGTATCTCTATCATCCATATCGTTGAGCATATATTGTAGTTTCCATATTTCACTTTCAGTAGGATGATAAAATTTGCTCTAGTCTCTGGACTCTAGATTAAAAATCCATTAATGACCAGACCTCTTAACTTCAATGAAAACTGTTTTATTAGTTTAAACTGATTTATACTCATCTATAAAGCATTCAAGTTTATTTTCTAAGCTATGTCCTGGAAACTCGAAAGTATGTGTCAGATTGCCAGCAATGCCATCAGGATTATTATACGACTCCAAAAACTCGTCAAGACCCATTTCTTCGTCTGAGAATAGCCATAGTCTTATATCTGTTAGATTAGTGTCTGTTAAAAACTAAAAGATATTTTTAAGATGTACTTTTAAATCTTTAAACTTCTACTTTCTTTGCAAATTTAATTATTTGGGATATTTGAGTTTTTCTCCCCTTCTCATTAGAGCTATTTTGACTTTTGGGAGAAGAGCATCTCTATAAGCCTTGCCTATCTTATCTTTAGCTATAGAAAATCGAACTATTTCAAGACCATCATAAGAATTATAAAGAATTTTCCAAACACCTTTTGCTGTGATGAAATAATCTCTATCTAATTTTTAATCTTCTTTAATAGGAAAATTAGTGTAATTTGTGAAATCTACTCTGTGATGATAAAAGTCTTTTTAATCCATTATTAGAAATTTATTGGTAACATCTCCTGGATGGGAGCATCCGCTGTTTAAAATCTTGTTAATAGATAAGTCTTTCATTGGTTTATTGAGATTCATTACATGATTTACAATATAATCGTATGATACAAAATTTTTCCATTTATCAAACCATCTTCTATTAATAACATAAAACTCATCATCAAAAGCATTCCATTTAGTTTCATTTAGTAGATAGCAATACTAAGCTACTTTTATTGCTTCGTTTATTTTCTAGTGTATAGATTTAGTTCCCGGCTTAGACTCAATTTTGTTGAAGAGTTTTTTGTAAAATTCTTCATTATCACTTTTAACATCATATCTCTTTGCTAAAACTTAAGATACTAAATTTTATGTATATTCTCTCTCATCTCTGCTAAATGTATCTTCTTTCTTAAGACATCTTCTTTAATAAGGGAAAAGGGGTCGCAATCCAAAGTGCTTAGCTTAAATATCAGCTGATGACAATGCTTTGGTTTCCCTAGGTTAAGATGGTGAGTTTCGTCTTCTTGAACTACTCGAGTTTTTATCATTATATCTACTGTTGCTACTCCCAAACCTTCTATCGTCATCTTCTCTTCTTCTAGATGAAGATGAGTAGCTATCATTTCTTCTTCAATTCGATTTGCTTCTGCTCCTATATCTTCCCCCTCTATCTCTGCTTCTTGACCTTTCCCATTTTCTTCTTTAACTTCTCGAGTTTTCATATCTTGAACTATTCCTGCTATTATTTCTATACTTATCTCTATCTCTACTATTGGATCTCCTACTTCTTCTAGGACTGCAGTCATTCGGATGCCGTTCTCTATACTACTCATATGTTACTCTAGTGTTGCTTTGGTAATGAGGTGTTTCTAATGATTGGAGCTTAGAATTTACTTATGCCAAGTTATTTATTTTTGTTGAGGAGTTAATAGTTGATGAAGTTGGAGGTGTTTCATTCGCTTAATTAGTCATTTAATGTTTTTACTTCTCATTTGCTTTATTTGTAGATTCATCTGAAGAAGATGAGGAAAATAAATCATTAAAATCTTCTTCATCATCATCGCGCTTTTTGTTGTCGCTTGTATCTTTGATCAGAGTTGGTATGATTACTTTTTTCCCTATTTTTTCTTGATTTTCCATCTCTTGGTATATGTTCTAACTTTCGTTCAAATAATCGGTTCTAAATTTTATCTTTTTATTATATTTTAGTATTAGTTTAATTACACTTTAAAAGAGAGTAAATATTTATGATGGGGTTTTGGGGTTTTGGGG